TTCTTCTTCTTCTTCTTCTTCTTCTCCTCCTCCTCCTCCTCCTTCTCCTTCTCCTCCTCCTCCTCCCTGTCCCTTCTCTTGGTTACACAGTCATTACAACCACGACGTTATCTCCGTTCTTTCTTTCTTTTCTTTCTCCACAAGGGAGAGTGTATAAATGTATTAGTTCCGGCAACAGTAAGGGCAATGTAAGTCCTTACGTTCGTCTTGTGTCCTTATCTCAACTGATGAAATCATCCCAACCTCACCTCTTACTCAAGTCACGACCTTAGGTCTTGAAAGGTTGTATTTATTGTCATAACACTCGGAAAGGAGAGTTTTCCTAGAACCTAATTCAACTCACTCACCGAGTAACCATCTTGATAATGACCGAGATAATAGGTGTAATAACATTAATATATCTATCATCTGATGGCGTAGTACGCTCACCCAGACTGCAGACGCTTTCTCCCTGGCGCCAGAGGGCTGGGGGTCGAGACTTAGCGACGACATTCCCACTTCGCAGGTCGCAGAGGCTGCTGGAAGAAAGTGATGCGGAGTGCAAAAATTGTTAATGTATTGTGAACGGGAAGAGAGACTTTTAAATAGCGGCGTTTGTAGGTCATGGGGCAATATTTTGTATCGCTTAATCCATCACATTTCAAATAAATTCCAAGCCAGTTCTTTAAAAGAAAAGGAAAACGCTTGAAAGCTCTCTTGTCAAATAGGTTAAACATCTCGTAGGTGCTTTTTCAGCGTATTTTCTTAATGGAGGGGGTGGGGGGATACTTTGAAAAGGTGTACTGTGTGGGGCCGGAAGGGAAAACGGAAAAAGGATTTTTATGTTCCTCCTTTTAGTTGTAAAATAGGTGTTTCCTTGAGACCGTTCAGGCTTTGATTCTTCAATTGCTTTGACATTTAGAACACGGTTTGCTGGTTCCAGTTTACAAAATATGCTTTCAGAAGTGTTGTGGATTGTTGTTTTATTCTTTCACACTCCTTCATTTAACAGAATGAATTTGGAACAAGGGTGTGGAAGTTTGGTTTAAAATCCAACATTTGACAAAGTGGAAGGAAATCGTTCTAAATAATTCTACAAAATAAAACCTCTTCCAATTTGGTTTAAGATATTTTCATCTACTTTTCAAAACATCAAACTGCAGAAGTTTTACTTCTACAGTTTGAGAATTATCAACTATTTCATTTGTTAGTTAAAAGTTGACATTTTAGATGGCAGCATTTCCATAACAACAAAAAGAAGATCAGGGGGAATTTTGTTGGGATTCTAAAAAAATATTTTTTAAAAGCATGTACAGTGCTGCAGTCTGTTAGGTGCTTCAGCAGTATCATTCTCGGAGTTTCTTCTCTACGTTTGTTTTGTGGATCTCTAGACTTTCCAAGTGGGTGAAACAAAAATAGTCACCAATATGATTAAACATTTATCTTTTCCCCAAGCATATTATTATCTAGATATTATGGAGAATTGAACCCACGACATAACTCGTTTAACTCTGGCGTCCTATCCATTTGACTACGAAGTTCGATCACACACGTCGCCAAATTGAGACAATCCATCCACTATTTTGGTAACAAATATAGATACAAGCACATTTTTGCCTTTCGGTTGAGCAGATGGGGCAATTTGCACCATGCCGTAGCTTTCGAGGGGGGGGGGGCTGCCGATGCATCTTGAAGAGTTGTTCTGTAGGCTGTAGGGTTCTGTTAACGTGATTGTCATGTGGGCGAATGTACTATAAACACGATTTGGGGATGCGCGCCCAAATCAGGAGGATATGTTTTCTTTTGATTCCCTCAACATAATAATAGTACTTTGTATAATATGCTTAGAGACCCTTTTACATGCAACAATAAATTGTATCGGATTTATCGTATCGGAGACCTGTCTGTTTGTATGTTCCAGTCTACTATCCTATTCTCTTATGATTGGTTAGAATCTTTATTCGTGCGTCGGAGAGCTGCCATGTCTCTTTGCAACAACAACCATTTGCCTGTACTCTGCTGGCTGTTCCTATAATTAAAAGATTAAAGGGAAATATCATGAGACTCATCTAATCTCACACCATAGTTTTTCTCAGTTCTTCCTTGAATGTTGTTCTGGGATTGTTTAGGCCAACTTGTTCTCATAAATTTTTTGGGTTGCATTTTAATTACACATTTTGCAAAATGGCACTATCTCTCAATTAATGTGTAATTGTAATCTTCCGACTTCCAGAGATATTCATGAGATCTGTACATTCCAATAAAGAAAAGAACAGCATCTTTTGACCTAGTCCTTGTACTGCTCCGTGTCTGCAGTGGTTTGAATGAAGCTTTACCGTCAAATGCACCACACAATAGGTAACCTTGATACATGATTACGCTGTCAATTGAATGATGAAATGTTTGCTTTAAAGTTAAAATATCGCATCAAGTCAGATTGCCCTCAATACACTTTGCTTATTATGATACGCTAATTTCGAAAATGAGGTCCGTTTTTAGCTGCAATATTTATTTTCAAAATTTTGCTTGCAACGCTTAATCCCACGCGGCAGCAAATTTGAAAAAAAGTTTCTTGGTCCCGGCTCGTCTCTTCCAAATCTGACAGAGAAAGCACAAAATTATCAGGCGAGGCTTTATTTCTTCATCTCGTCTCCAGGCCATCGTCCGATCGTCCAATTTTATACAGTGTATTCGGTTATTACACGTCACGATTTGTCGTATGAACGATCGTTCATCCAACTTTTGAACATTTTATCGCTATGGGTAATAGTGCCTAAAACGGAGAGAACGATGTGCTAATCAGTTGGTGTCACGCTAAAGTGAGATGTGGATGGCTCTGGCTCGAATCCATTTCATAGTATTTTGAAGTGTATTTTTATTTTTTTTTTTTTTTGGTCTGCTGAGTTTCTACAACATAATATTTACATATGTATACATTTACATATCACGCGTTTGCGTGTTTTAGTGTGTTGTGTGTATGCGTGTGTGTGCGTACTATTCTGAAAACAGCATGAGACCTGTTTCATAGCCATAGTAGGGGCTGTAAGTGGAAGAAACTCCTGCTAGCTACTTCTGTTGTTCGACTCCTCAACCTGTGGCCCCACCTACCGACCGGTTCTCCACCGCGGCGCCCACAGGCTTTGAGTCATGGCCGCCTCGGGGTTATCGTGGGTCAGAGGTCGTAGTGCACCCAGCGTCTTATCTAGATGAAAGAAAATGATGGGAGACTTGTAGGTAAGATGTTTGTGATAAGAGGGAATACTCGGAATTACAGGATAGTAAACCTGAAGTACTGATGCAGAGGGAAAGAGAGATGGGTGTGTGTCGGGGGGGGGGGGGGGGGGCAAAAAAAAAAAAAAGGGGGGGGGGGGGGGGGGGGGAAAACCAGGGAAGAAATAGGGGGGGGGAAAAAATGGGGGGCGGGAAAACCAACCCCCAACCCAGCCAGCCCCCCAGCCGGCCCGGCCAGCCCAAAAAACTCTTGGTTTAACAAAGAGGTGAATGAGGAATGGAAAGGCGCGATGACAGATTGTTTCGTTATTGGAAAGCCTTTATGACAGTGCAACGTATCAGTTTTTATGTAAAACGTTGGGGGGGGGGGGGGGAGTATTTGTGTGCAGGGGAAGGGAAAGGGGGGATCACCATCTGGCCTTTATATGTAGCAAGATTCCCTGCGCACTTAAAACAAAAACACAAAAAAACCCACATACACTTTTTAAAACTCTTTTACTCTTTTTAAAATATAACTTGTTCATTGTCAAAGTTGGAAAATTAATACCGTATATCAACAAATCAACGAATAATTCACCTAAATCAATTAAGGGAGAAAAAAATGAGAGAAAAACGTTATCAATTCCTGGGTGCAAAATATATTTGTGGCATTGGGGGGAAATCGGGCGCTCGTAAAAGCAATTAAATCGAATAAAACCGACATTTTCCGCTCGTCTGGCAATTTTTATCGATTTGTTTTTCTTTTGGTATTGTTTTTGCTTTTGCTTTGCTTTTTGGATCATCGCCTTGTATGTCCATTAAAACACATTTATTTATGGGTTTTCCACGATAACGTTGATGAAATGCATAAGAAATTTGAATTATGACGCTCAAGGATTGGAAGACACCAAACTTTGGTGGTCATTTTCTCGATTACTTCTGACACACTGTTTACCCCCACCTGCTTCAATTGAGATCGTTTGACTTTCAGTTTTGAGAAATGGGTACTTTTTCATAACAAGCGAGACAAATGAACAAGCCTTCAGATGATACCGCAGAAACTTCATATATGCCTAAAATCTAACGAGAACCTGATTCCAACGCGCCGTGACTCATATTTTCTGGGCTATAAAAACAAATATAAACATGTCTTGTCAAAATATGGAATCGGTGGATGCATTCTATCTCACGTTATTAACAAAAACATTATTTTTTCATTTCACAAATGGATAGACTACCTATACCCAACTAGATAAATGAACCAAAATGTACAGAAAAAGAGCATCAACCCCCGCCCCTCCCACTCCCTAAAAAAGAAGGACGTGTATCTTTGGTATGTGTGTGCTAATGCCCATGCGTTTGAAAGCACTGTTGCTTTGGTTGCGGTGAACAAAGGTCTCTTGGGGTCAACAAGATGAGATTGTGCCTCTGAGTAGCTTCAGCAAAAGGGTTCCTCGCTCGTAGTGGTCACTCTCAGGTCGCCCTGACACACTGGGCTAGCATCAAATCCCATCACACAACCATCATCACCATCTGCTTGGAATTGACAGTCGTTCACAGAGTTGATGAATAGTGTCACAGACCTACGGTGGCTGCAGAACACTTTTGCTAAATCATTAAAATAAAGAAGGTTAGAAGGTCTAGTTGGACATCCTGGCTGGTCTATCCCTCCGTTCACGTAGAAGTCTGCAGAACCGACGGACTTGGGGAATCCAAACCCTCCTCGACTAACTTCTTCCGCATTTGTGTGAATAATGTCTACAAAATCTCCGTCAGTTTTGTCCAAATACACAGAGTCCTTGAACTGCTTGAAGCCCAATCCGCCGGGGTCCAATCCAGTAATTCTCCCAACGTTGGCACCAGTCAAGCGTCGAAACTCGACCCCAGCAGAGCCCATGATGTGAGCTCCGAGGCTGTGTCCGATCAGATGAAATGTATCGGTTGAGGCTCCCGCACTTTCGTGAAGATCCTGGAGAAGTCGTCCTATCATGGCGCCCAGTGTCCTGGCATTTGCGACCGACTGAAAGTACTCATAGCCGTCTACGCCGTCTTTATAGTCAACAGCGATCACATTCATCTTCTCTCTGTTCAAAAGAGCATCTTTCAGCTTCAGCTCCCAGTTTTCCTTTGACTCCAGGAGGCCGTGCCCCAAAACTCGAGTCTGAAGCGAGGGGTCGAAAGTTGACAAATCACCAACTTTAATCTGTGTTCCCGAATTCTCCAGATCTTGATAGAGCCAAAAGGTAAGACCCACGTTCTCGGGGCATTGTGGCCTTCTTAAGCCTGTGTTTTTGAAGTCGTTGAATGCAATGCCAAAACACTCGCAGCCTTTCGGCAGCTCTTCATTCTGACAGCAGCGTCGCGAAAAGGTCGAAATAAATGAAACTGAAAGGATGAAAGAAATAGAAATATGTGAGCAATGAGAAGTGCACTGACAGGATAACAGACAGACAGACAGACAGACAGACAGACAGACAGACAGACAGACAGACAGACAGACGGACGGACGGACAGACAAACAGACAGGCAGGCAGGCAGACAAACAGACAACATGATCTTTCAAACGCATCAGATGAATGTTAAGGTTCTGGGGCGGGGAGTGGGTCGCGTTGGCCACTGACAAGTAGAAAGGAAAGAGAGGGCAAAAAAACCCCAAACTAATTAGATTTCAACTCAGTCTGTCTAAGGATGCTGACTCTGAAAATGATAAAAACAAGCGGAAAAAAATTGATTCAAACACCACTACCCCCACCCTCAAAAAAGAAAAGTCCGCGCTAAAACATAACCTAAAACAGAGAGCGATTTTGGAGCAAGTTCTCTGCAGTAATAAATGGGTAAAAGTAAATTTGAATATCAAGGCCCCAAGACCTGGAATGCTTTGCCAAGTACTTTAAGGGAGATCAAATCTTTTGATTTATTCAAATGTCAGCTGAAATCATTTCTGTTTTTAAATTAATAAGATGAATATTTGGAGGGATTTTCTTTTAGCCAAGACACAACATATTATATTACTGTGGTACATTGTATTGTATTGTAAAGCGCTCAGAGCCTGAGTACTTTAATCGAGGTTGAGCACTCTGTAAATGTCATTTATTATAATTATTATTACTTACGTCTAAACTCAGAACAGTCCTCATAATTAGGAGTGGCCATTGAGGCTCTGAGCATAAGAAAAACACACATAAACAGTAGCTGAGACATGGTGCTTCTGACACCAAATGACCACGGCAAAAGTATAAGTACTGGTTTTACTTTACTCCAGCTGTGGTCCTACGCATTATTTAGTATAATACAAAAGAGAATCATTTTTAATGAAACCATCAGTCTAGTCTAGTGATTCAAAGGGGAAACTGGGATCTGTTCCGCAAGAAAGCTGTACATCGAGCTACAGGAAGCGTTCGTGTTGAACGACAAGTTATGTACCCTGAATCATGTATTTAAAAAAAATATTATAT